TCGTCCGATTTGAGAGCCAGGTCGCACTTCGCCGCGATGAGGTCAGCCTTGTATTGGCCCACTCCGACTCTTCGAACTCGACGGAGTCCAGCGAGGCGAAAAATTCGCGTCCCACGCGAGGTCCACCACCTGCTTGCCTTCGCTGGCGACGCTGCCGGCGATGCGAGCTCGGTCGCGAGCGCCTTGGCTGCCGCCCGCTTGGAGAGGGGCGCCTGCGCCAACGCCCGCAAGGTCTCCGTCTCCTTCTGCAAGGCGCGGTCGAGGTTGTCGCGGCACCGCTGCGCGTGGGCCGTAGCCTGCTCGAAGCGGAGCGAGGCGTCCTTCCAGGCGACTTCCGCTCGCCGCGCGGCTTCGGCTGGCGCCGCGACGGGAGGGTTCGCCGCCGTATTGGCTGCCGCCTCGACCTGCTGCACGTGGAGTTCCAGCGACTTCTTAATTTCGGGGTCCGTCGCCAGCGCCGCGGCCTGCGACAGGAACCCGCTGAGCGAAGGCGAAGCACTCGCTGCTCCCGCGCTGCCCGCGCTGCCCCGCGGCGGGCGCTCTGACTCGGTAGGGCGTGGCGCCTGCTGCTTGCCTCCTCCCCGCTGCTTCTCTCTGTAGAGCTTCACTGGCCGCGAGCACCTGCAGCACTTGCAACCGTTGTGCACCTGGACCTCATTGTACTCGCACGCGCCGCAAGCCTTGCAAGCCGACCACGGGCCGCGCGCGGAGGAGGACACAGCAGCGCCTTCTACCGGGAACTGCCTCTCTTAGCCAGCGGGATTGACCACATAATGGGTTGTGGGAAGTCCGTTGCCCCTCAAGCGCGAACGTGGACGTGAGAGGCTTCAGCCCGCTGCTGCAAAATGCGCGCTCGGGCCGAAATGGGCTTGAGAGGAGGGAGGAGGGAGGAGGGAGGAGGAGGAGGAAGAGGAGGAGGAGGAGGAGCAGGAGGAGGAGGAAGAGGCGCATGAGGAGGAGGAGGAGGAGGCGCGCGGGCAGAAAGGCCAGAGGCCTCTTGGATGTCTCTTCGGATGTCTCGAAAGCTCCCTGGAGTCCTCCGTGGGGACCTCGTGGCGGTCCCGTGAGCCTCTTGGAACGTCTTGGGTGTTTCGGGGAATTCTCTTCGAAACTCCTGGGGGTCTCTTGGGGACCTCTTGGGGACCGCTTGGGGACCTCTTGGGGACCTCTTGGGGGCCTCTTGAGGCCTTGGGGCCCTCTTGGGTCGCTCGTGGGGGCCATCTTGGGGCCATCTCGGAGGAGTTCGGTCAAAGAAGAGGGGGTGCTCAATTAGCCTCGTCCCCTACAACCCGCTGGACTAAAAAGTGGAGACCTTGCAGATCGAGACAAACGCGGTTGGCATCCCGTTAGGCCGCGGTGTTGGAGTTGGGGCCGATAGGGAAATTTCAGATGTGTCTCACCCCTTTTTAATAGCATAACAGCCAAATGGGGTCAATGTCAAAGCGATTCCGCCCGAGGCTTCTTCAACACAACTTTCAGATCGCCTTCCAGGACGATCTGAAAATTTGCCATGGCGCCTGAAAATGGCGATTTCGCGTGGGACTTCCTCTGACAAAAAGACAGATCGATCTTCATGCCGCTTGAGAGTGGCGATATCGCTTAAGAACTCCTCACAGCGTATTTTCCGGCCGCTTCTCACGCCGCCAGAAAATGTCAATGTCGTTTAAGTTGTCCTACAACAACGCGCTTCGTCCACCCCAGCGGCGTCGTTCCTCCGTTCGGGTCACGAGCTTGTCTAGGACTCATTTTGGGATCGATCGAAGGTCGAAACTAGAGGTTTTATCAATTGGCGAATACCTGGGGGTTGTTCCCTCGCATAGTGCCGATCACAATTTTTTTGAATCCAGGAGGTAGTAGGGGGCCAAAATTGACCCAACACCTAAGTCGCATCAGTGATTGTTGCCTTCTAGCCGATGCTTCTTGTTCGCTCCAATGGGTCGCGGGGCGTTTATCAACGTCCAGGGGGAAGGAGTAGGGGGAGGGGTCAAAGCACCCTCCCTCCCCGCCCACAAGCGGTCTCGCTCACTCCCACCCGCCCTCGCAACATATAAGTAGCACCCGAGCCTCAGCGTGGTCAACCGTCGTCTTTTCATGGACAGCTAGTGGAAACCAAAAACAGACCCCATGTGCGCGATGCTGGGGCGAGGTGCGCCACGCGTGCCATACGCACCAGGTGTGCCAGGCACCCCTGGGGCCCAAGCGTGCCAGGCACGCCTAGCGCGCCAGATGCGCCACGTGCTCCACGGGCGCCATTTGTGTGTGTGTGTGTGTGTGTGTGTGTGTGTGTGTGTGTGTGTGTGTGTGTGTGTGTGTGTGTGTGTGTGTGTGTGTGCGTGTGCGTGTGCGCGTGCGTGCGTGCGTGCGTACGTGTGTGTGTGTGTGTGTGCCGCATGCTCCAGCCACGCCAGGTGCGCCACGTTCGGGGCACGCGCAGAGAGTGCCAGATACGCCCGCGCGCGTGACAGCACACATCGTGAAACATGTCGGTCCCCACCGTCCTTGTCAAAAACCACCGCAATCGCGGCGGGGTTGCTATCATGGTGTCTGGTGGGCCTGCACACGGGAGGCAATAAGCCAACACCTCCGTCGTCCTTGCCAAAATCCATTGCAAAGTGACCACGGGCTGGCCTCGCATGATCCAGATTTGGCCGCGAAGTGCATTATGTATGGCTCTTGTGTCACGGATGGTAGCCCTGCGCACAGCAGGCAACATGATAACACCCTAGCCGTACTTGTCAGAAAATAATGCAAAGTGTTCGCGGGTCCCACGAGCATGACCCAATAAGTTGCCCCAACATGTATTTAGTATTGTTTGATGATAGAAGTGGTGGTGGGGGGTAGTTGTACTTGGTTGGTTGCCAATCGCCCAGGGGAGGGGGTGTTTGTTGATAGGAAACAATAATGAGCCCTTCCCCGAAGGGGAAGAACGGAGGGAGGGATGATGAAACGCTCTAGACCACATCCTGTCAACATGGGCGCATATGGGCCGTATGGGTGCAGAGAGCAAGGAGGATAGAACAGTAACGAGACCGTAGCGATAGCAAGCTAATGGCCGATGCCTTCTGCTGCTTGTGTGCTCTTCTGGAGGTCAGGAGGCAGCAAGCAGCAGCGAACAGCGCGCGACATCGTTCAAGAAGTGATGTTGTCGCGCTTCTCCCGGGCCAGGAAATCTATACATATCCACTGCCACCTGGCCGGATCCTTCCTGGGCCCAGGAGCTGTGCATACACACCGCTGCTGGGGTTGACCTGGCCAGGGGAGCAGTGCATATGTAAATATTTCGCCGCCCCCGTCTGCTGCCTCTAAACCACACGGGCCAGGGCGGTCAGGCCTTGCACGAGGTCGGGATTTCGACTGCGGCATGCTGCGCGGCGCGCAGGTGCCCGGGGGGGCGGGGGCCAGGGCGGGCCCTGTCTGCTGGGAGTGGGCCTGCCTGCTGCTGGCCTGCTCCTAACTGGAGGAAGGGCAACTTCTTGTTTCGGCAGCCGCGAGACGGGGGTGAATGCAAACGGGGGTCAGCCAGAGCGCCGGATCCTGCAGGATCCTGCAGAGCCAGGGTTGCGCTGACCTGGGTCAGTGCGCAGGATCATGCAGGATCCTGCAAAGCCCGACTGGCCCGGGCCACTGCGTCCCCGATTGTTTTCGCGCAGATCCGCCGCGGCGGCGTCGCATGGTCGTCGCGGTGGGGTGCCTTCGTCAGGGCCTCGGGTACGCGCCATCTTGGAGCCGTCAGGGGAGGGGTCTCGAGGTGGGGGCCTTCTTGGTCAGTTCTTCGGCCATCGTGGACGCGTCTTTGGGGTGACCTGGGCCGTCTTGAGGCCCCAGTGCGCCTTTGGCCCTCCAGTGTGGCTCAGGGGCAACGATAGGGAGGGATAGGCATAGGGGGGGATGCATTGACCCCCAATCGCCCATTGATCGCCGATAGAGGCCCGAGAGCCCCAATCTGCCCAGGAACGTTCGGATTTGCTGGGATATGCCGCCGATCTATCGGCGATGTATCGCCAACTCCAGGCCGATGTTTGCCCCCTATGCCAGTCCCTCCCCCATCGTTGCCCCTCAGTGGCAAAGCAAAAGACACATCGGGAAACATGTCGGCCCCCACCGTCACCGCCGAAAACCAATGCACAACCGCGGCGGAATGGCCATCATGATGTCTGGTGGGACTCCGCACAGCAGGCAACATTGCATGCCAGCACCCCGACCGTCCCTATCAAAACCACTGCAAAGTGATCGCGGGGTGCCCGCGCATGATCCAGACTTAGCCCCGAAGTGTGGTTTATACATGTTTTTACAGTTTTTGAGAGTGATGGTGTCCCTGCGCACAGCAGACCATATGCCGGCACCGTAACCCCTCCCCGAAGGGGAAGAGGGAACATGGACGAGGTCACGCAGTAGACCACCTCCGCCCAGAGGGCTGGTTGCATTAAGATCGCTGAGACTGCAGACAATCTTACAACATGTTCAAATGATGCAATACCAGATTGGTTTGATACTTCGCCATAAGCTTTGCGAGCACGATTGGACATTGGGATAGTCCCCCCTGTGCTTGGTCGGAGAGCTCCACAAACTGATTTCAGGCTGTTGCCATAGTTGGTGTGCTTAAAGTTTCTCTTCGTCTTCCTCCAATGTGCAATTGCGCAAGCCAGGCCATGTAAGGGGTCCTGACTCTAGGTCGGGGTGCTCTTGCCAGTGTTCGGGTAAGCCATGCACGGGTTGCCGCGATCTCGATGTACAGGGGAATAATTGCCTTGCGATATGATTGATGCTGTATTACGCGCTCATGCTTTCATCTGTTGTCGCCATCTGCTCCCCCCTACCATCACGAGCCGCCAAAAGCCACCCAGATATGCAGCGGCGTGTCTTTCAATATTGGTAAGCCTAGTCTGTGTGAGTTCAAGTCTCCAGCTGGCTGCATCGACCACCATCGCTGTCACCTCCACGATCGCCGCGATCACCCCCCGTATGTGTGGAGCAAGCTCGCGCGCCGCGGCCCCCTCGGCATGCCCTCGCGCCAATGGGTGAGCATGGGCGCCGGCCTGGACACTCACAGCTGTTGGCCTTCCGCGGCGGGGTGCAAATACGGTAGGTTCGCGTCGTGTAGACCAGCGGCGACCCCGCCGCGGGCATTCCACGAGTGATCGATGTCGAATCGGCGATGCTCAACGATCGTTCAACGTCGCCAGCGATCCAGAATCGGTCGATGTTGAACGTGTTGAACGATCTGACGTTTCGGAAACGGCTGATCGTTCAAGGGTGAGCGATCCCCGCGGTGTCAGGAACCAGTGCCGGGGTCGACACGACACGAACCCGCGATAACTGGACTGGCAGCGCTTGGTCACACCAAAGTTCGCACTGGCGGGCGTGGTCGTGCGGGGGGGCGCGCCCGCCACAACGCCGAGGCGGCCGCCGTTGCGCCAGGGAGCTCTGGCGAGCCTCCAGACAGCGCCCTCGGCCCCGACGGCGCCACAGGGGAGGCCGCAGAGCTCCAGGGGAAATCGGCCGCGTCCACAGAGGCGTCGGCCGATTGGAACTACGGACCAAACAAAGTAGGACCAAGCATGTTATTAGGTTCCAGAGTGTGCTGGAGAAAACAATGGAGGATGATCGAGGAGTCATGGAGTCGAGGATAGTCGAGGACAGTCGAGGATCATGGGGGATGGCGATGATCGTGGAGAAGAGCCGAGGACCATCGAGGACTGTCGAGGATCATCGAGGATACGTAGTCGAAGATTTGTTCGACGTTGTGCCCCACATTTGTTTTGGCTCATCATTCCCAACCATCCTGTGGTGTTGGGTCCTCGTTTTGAAGAGACGGCGCCCCGCGTTCCTCCTCCTCCTCTCCTCTCCTCTCCTTCCTCCTCCTCTCTCCCCTCCTCCTTCCTCCCACCATCATCTTCACCTCTCACACGTTTCGTGGCCCCATACGGAGCTCCACCCAAGGTCCCAGTGGCGCAGCCCGCATGCGGTACGCGCCCCATTTTGGCACACCCCTCACACAGTGGCGCAGCCCGCATGCATGCATTTTGGCACACCCCTCACACGTTTCGTGGCCCCATCGGGAGCTCCACCTTAGGCCACAGTGGCGCAGCCCGCATGCGGTACGCGCCAAATTTTGGCACACCTCTCACACGTTTCGTGGCCCCATACGGAGCTCCACCCAAGGTCCCAGTGGCGCAGCCCGCATGCGGTACGCGCCCCATTTTGGCACACCCCTCACACGTTTCGTGGCCCCATAGGGAGCTCCACCCAAGGTCCCAGTGGCGCAGCCCGCATGCGGTACGCGCCCCATTTGGCACACCCCTCACACGTTCGTGGCCCCATACGGAGCTCCACCCAAGGTCCCAGTGGCGCAGCCCGCATGCGGTACGCGCCCCATTTGGCACACCCCTCACACGTTTCGTGGCCCATAGGGAGCTCCAACGTGGGCTCCAGTGGCGCAGCCCGCATGCGGTACGCGCCCAATTTTGGCACACCCCTCACACGTTTCGTGGCCCCATAGGGAGCTCCACCCAAGGTCCCAGTGGCCCAGCCCGCATGCGGTACGCGCCCCATTGTGGCATACCCCTCACACGTTTCGTGGCCCCATGGGGAGCTCCACCTTAGGCCCCAGTGGCGCAGCCCGCATGCGGTACGCGCCCAATTTTGGCACACCCCTCACACGTTTCGTGGCCCCATAGGGAGCTCCACCCAAGATCCCAGTGGCGCAGCCCGCATGCGGTACGCGCCCCATTTTGGCACACCCCTCACACGTTTCGTGGCCCCATAGGGAGCGCGGGCGAAGATGGTACTCACAATTGCGGTGTTCACAACTGCATATGGTTGGGTCTTTCGTCAGGCTAATTCTTTTGGAGCCACCCTATGGGAGGGTCAGGCAGCGGGCCAAGGCCCCCAGCTCCTCGAGAAAAAATCGAGGGCGGAGGTTTGTTTCTGACAACTTGTTTAGGCCTTTCGCCGTGCCCCAGGGGCCGTCAAGAAACAGCTCAGGATAAAGAGCTGGTCCTGGGTAAGTATTATTCAACCGCCCCCTATCCCATATCCCCATCCCCATCAAGACCCCCACCATCTCAGCACCCCAGTTGGGGATATCCGGGATATACCTATCGAAACCCGAAGGAAACGGCTTATATCCCCATCCAGGGGGGTAAATCGGCCAGCGGTGCCCAGACCACGTCGTTGTGGACAGGGGTAGGATAAACATGGGGAGCGGGTCCAGGCCTCCAGGGACCCCGTCTTGAGAAACTCAAGACGTTGGATTTCTGGGGGGGAGGGGGGGGGGAGGCGGTTCGTGTGGTCTGGTTCTCCCCCAGACTGTGTGGCCCGCCCTCCCTTGCCCGTTGTTGTGGAACCTTCTGGGTTGGCTTTTTCTCCTGCGGCCAAAGGCGGACCCCGCGGAGCTGGAGCGGGCCTTGGGCGTCGCGGAGCTGCTGCTGTCCGCCGAACCCCCGGCGCCGCCGGACATGCCGCAGCGGGGCCAGATCGTGGATTTCGATCACCTGCTACGGTTCGCGGCGGCGAGCCTGGGGGCAAGCTTGGGGAGTTTCGGGTTCGAGGATTGCGGTTTTCGGGCGTCGTCGTTGGTTCTCGGCGGCCTTCCAGCCTCGGGATGCGCTCTAGCAGCTGCGCCTCGCCGAGAGCATTCCAGGGATGCCTGGATCATCCCGAATGGCCGCTGGAGACCCGAGCTATGACCGAAAAACCACAACACGTCCGAGAGGGAGCGGGCCTTCTCAGAAAGCTCGGAAGGCCTCGGGCCTTCTGAGAAGTTTTCCTAAGCCTTCCCCGAAGATGCAAAAAACTTCTGAGAAGGCTGGGGGGCTTCTGAGAAGCCCGCCGCCTTCTGAGAAGACCTGCTCCTTCTCACTTCCCCCCTGGCCCCGCCGCCGAGGTTCGTGCGCCAGCATCGCAGGATGTGCGATCTGCGAGGCTTCGATGCCGCTCGTCCGCGGGTGGTCTTCCTCGAAGAGCAAGACACGGAACAGACATCAGATCTCGGAGCTCCGCGCAGATTCTTTGAATCGGCGCTGAGCACACCCGGGGGCGCCTCCGGCGCCGACCCTGGCGTCGCCCCTGGCGCGCTCCGCGCGTTAGGGAGGGTTTTCAGCGCAGATCCAAGAAATATGCGCGGATCTCGAACAGTTTATGTTTATGCAGTTTTTCCATCCTCCAGGTCTACCACTGGACTTCCGAGGCGAATTTCGAATCCATCGTCGCATCGGGACTGCGGGTGCCAGATGGCGGCAGCGTGGCGGTGGCGCACGGCAGTTCTTTCGGAAACGGTATCTACGTCTCCCCAGATTTCAGATACGGCGAGGAGTTCTTCGGGTACGGCGCCCGCGCCGCGTTCATGTGCCTCGGGCTCCCTGGACGGCAACACTTTGGCAAGCCAGATGTCGACGGCCTCGGCCAGCCCGACGGCTACGACAGTGCTGTGGGGCGCGAAGGACAGCGCGGAGTGGACGAGTGGGTGTTCTTCCGAGCCGACCAGCTGCTGCCCGTGTTCTTGGTCGACAAGTTGGGCGTGGTCATGCTAGGGGAACGAGTAATGACGTAAACATAACAATTCGGAGGTCCCCGCGGATTTTTCGGCGCCCCCTGGCGCGCTCCGCGCGCCAGGGGGGTCAATGAAGTCCGCGCGGACCTCCGAGTTTTTATGTTCCTGTCACGGTGTGTTCCCCGAGGTCATTGCTCGGGACGCCGCCGCCGCCGCGATCCGAGAGCTGCACCGCCCGTGGCCACCAGCCCACCAGGCTCGACTAGCTTCAAGACGTGTGCTATCCCGAGTGCGTGCTTACCCACCTCGGCTGCGCGCAGCCTGTGTTGGCCCCCTTTGCACCGCATGCGTCGTATTGAAGGGCTTCGGCGGATCCTCGTCGGGGGGGGGGGGGGCGGCGGCAGCGACGGCGGCCTCTCCTTCGTCGGGGGGCCCGAGAACCGCGTTTCTCTCAGGACCCAGCGAGCGCGCTGCGCTCGCTCGGGAGGCTCCGTCCCCCCCGCACGGCACACGTTGGCGCTAGCACACGTTCTGAGGATCATGGACAGGCTCCAGAGGAAGCTTGCGTGGCCGCGGCGGCGCCCGACGCCAGTGCCGCGCTGCCGGAGGGCAGCAGCGCTGGCGCGGTGCACGTGGCGGCCACCATCGGCGGTTCCAGAGGGTGTGGTTACGCCAGGGTGAGGTTTTCAGGGGCAACGACAGGGGGGGATAGACATAGGGGGAATGCATCGACCCCCAATCGCCCATTCATCGCCGATAAGGGTCTGATAGCCCCACCCCGCCCAGGAACGTGCGAATTTGCTATCGGGTACCTATCGCCGATCTATCGGCGATGTATCGCCAATTCCAGGTCGATGCTCCCCCCCCCCGTGCCAGCCCCCCCTATCTTCGCCTCTCAGGGTTGCGATCTGCGTCGTTGGTTTTCGGGCCACAGCTCGGGCCTCCAGCGGCCGTCCGGGACAATCCTAGCACGCCAGGAAAGCCCTCGGCGAGGCGCAGCTGCCTGAAGGCACCGCGGGGCAGGAACACCGTCAAGGTCAAGCGAAAACGTCCGCAAACGTGGCACCGCCCCGTCAAGCTGGACGCGCGCGTCAGCTCTGCTGGCTGGTTCCGTCGGGGTGTGGTTTGCGATCTGCGTCGTTGGGACTTGGGGGGTACAACGTTGCCCTCGTCGGGCCTCCTCGGGGCGCGGCGGAGAACTCTATCGAGGTCCTCGCCAGCCCCCCAGGGTGCACGTTTCAAACCACACCCTGTACAAACCCTTCGGAATCGCCGACACCAGCGCGGGCGGCACGGACGCTGGCAGCGCACGGTGGCGACGCCGCACAACGCTGGCCGCGGCGGCCCCAGAGGTGTGCGGTCCCAGCGCGGCCGCGGACGCCTCGATAGGCGGCGCGGGCCGACGCTGGAACCGCCGGCTGCTGCGCGAAGGCGGTGGCCTCTTGGCTGAGGCTGTGGAGCCATCGACGGGCCAAGCCGAGTTTCGCCACAGCATTCACCAGCATCATCATCAGCATCATCATCATCAGCATCATCATCTTCATCAGCATCATCATCACCAGCATCATCAGCATCATCAGCAGCAGCAGCATCATTGTCATCATCAGCATCATCGTCATAATCATCATCATCACCACCATCATCATCATCATCATCATCATCACCATCATCATCATCATCATCGTCATCACCATCACCATCACCATCATCATCAGCATCATCATCGTCGTCATCGTCATCATCATCACCATCATCATCGTCGTCATCATCAGAATCATCATCTTTATCCTCCGTCTCAGCAGCAGCGGCATCATCACCTTCGTTATTGTCTTCGGCTTCGGATTCGACTTCGTCTTCCTCATACGCATCCTCATCGTCACCTTCAGCTTCAGCTTCATCTTTTTTACCCCCGTCGTCGTCGTTCTCGTCATCATCAGGAGTCGCGCGACCGTAGCGAAGGAAATACCGTTTCGACCCTTGGTCCCTTGGCTGTGTAAGGGGTCGCCAGTCGTGACTGAGCCGAACCCAAGGACGCACGATCCACTTTCTGCGGGTGGCGGCGCCTTTCGAATGTGCGGAATCGACGGCCCCTTCGATCTTTCAAAGCATAGCCTACCAGTTAGCTAGCTATGCGGCTTGAGACCATCTTCAGGGGAGCCAGGGGTAACGGATTTACGACGGAAGATGAGGAGGAGGATATTTGGAGGAGCAGGAGGAGGAGGAGGAGGAGGAGGAAGTAGACAGAGAAGTGCTGATGAGGGCGGACGATCGCCGAGGAGAGCAGAGGAGGACGGATGATCACCGAGGAAGGCTTAGGATTAGGCGGGGGACGGAACAAGTTGGAGCACGAAGGAGTAGGATGAAGGACGAACGTGGATGATGTTCATGTTGATGTTGATAATGATGATTCTGGCGGACGCTTCTGCGAGCGACAGTGTCCCTTCACAGTGTCCTGGCGGACGCTTCTGCGAGCGACAGTGAGATCCTCAAATGATGATGATGATGATGATGATGATGATGATGATGATGATGATGATGATGATGCTGATGCTGATGCTGATGATGCTGATGATGCTGATGATGCTGATGCTGATGCTGATGATGCTGATGTTGATCATGCTTATGGTGATGCTGATGATGAGGATGCTGATGACGATGACGATGACGATGACGATGAATATGATGCTGGTGCTGATGCTGCTGCTGCTGCTGCTGCTGCTGCTGATGATGATGATGATGGTGATGGTGATGGTGATGGTGATGGTGATGGTGATGGTGATGGTGATGGTGATGGTGATGGTGGTGGTGGTGGTGGTGATGGTGGTAGTGATGGTGGTGATGATGATGATGATCATGATGACAATGATGATGATGATGATGATGATGATGATGATGATGATGATGATGATGATGATGGTGGTGGTGGTGGTGGTGGTTGTGATGGTGATGCTGATGATGATGTTGATGGTGATGATAGTGATGGTGATTGTGCTGGTGATGGTGATGGTGATGATGAGGAGGAGCAGGAGGAGGATGGTGAGGAGGATACGGAGGCGACAGGTCTTGGACGAGGACTGCAAGGACGGGTAAGAGGTAGACTGGCATATGATAATAGGAGGACTAGGAGAAGGAGGGGTAGGGAGAGGAGGAGAAGCAGGCGTTGGGATAGAGATATCCATCTGCCGACAGCAAGTCCCACCACCGTGCCAACTCAGTGCCTGGGATGCAACTGCTTGACAGGCGACATGGGGCCGCAACATGTGAAACGATTGGCGGTTCGAGTAACGGTCAGACATCGTCAAAGGTCACATGTCACACTTCGGCCGTCGTGAGTTCATTTTGGCTCTTCTGACTGAGGTCGTCCTGGGGCTGGGTAGGAGGATACAAGATACGATGATGACGAGGGGAGAGAAAGGGAGGAGGAGCAGGAGCAGGAAGAAGAGCGCGAGAATGAGCATCTATGTGGACGAGTGCGATTTGGAACTTGATTGTGGTGATGATGTCCAGGAGGAGCTCACTTGGTGCCGTCTTGGGGCTGTCTTGGGTTTCTGTGCGGCAGTCTTGGGGCCATTTGACTTGAGGCTCTCTTTGGCCGTACTGGGGCCGACTCAGACGATTGTCTTGGGCAGTCGAGCGGTCCTCTACGGCCGTTCTGTGCCCATCCAGAGACCCTCTTAGGCCAGCTTGGGAGCTCTCTTTGAGGGGTCGTGTAGAGGGCCTTCTTGAGACCGTCTCGGAGGGTCATTGTGCCATTTGGAAACTTCATGGGCCGTCTTGTGTCCATCTTGGAGGCCTCCAGGGCCGTCTTGAGCTTCAGGAAGCTCGGAAATGTAAAGATGCGAAAATCTGTCAAACATTGCAAAACAATACCTCTAGAGGCTCACTCCGATCCGCCGACCCTCGAAGAAAATCCGTGCGCACGGGGCTAACTTCGCCCGCGTTACTCGGGATGGAAGATTGAACTGTGGCGCATGTCGAGAATGATGAATGCATAAGTTTCCTACATGAGTCTTCAGATGGCGAGGAAACCTTGCGCTCAGGGGATGCGTTCCAGTGTTCGGGCCCGTGGAAGGAGCAATCGCTACCCCGCGCATGGGGTGGGTGGGCGTCGATAGGATCTTCAAATTTGCAGGCTCGGAGAGAGCCGTCAAGTGTGACCGTCCGAGTATCAGCCCGGAACATGTGCCATGCAGAAGCACAAGCCGGTCACATGTGACATTGCGCATCCCGAGTATCTTGATGCTGGGCCCGTAGCGAGCGCCTCTTCGGGTTTCGCGGGGAAAGCTATTGTGAGTTTTTGGTGGGCTGTCGGATGAGCGAGGAAGCGGCATTACTACAACATACTTATACTATGTGTGCGTCGGCTCCGAAGGGACGACCCGCACGCTTAGGAGTCTTACAGTATACGCTCCATGGCGGGCGCTTCCTGGCCATGCTGCCTCGGAAACGATATACTACAATATTGCTGTGCTGTATGTTCGGGTCGGACGTGCACCTCCAACAGATACACAATATTTCTATGTCCTTGTGCGTCCCTCGGAGGACGATGGGGCCGACGAGGGGAGAGGGCGATGAGCAGGAAGAGAGAGGGCGCGTCGAGTGAGCATGATTTGGGGGACGTTGTATTTTCTGTTTGTGTGGGGGGGCGTCGACTCCTCCTCTTCGTCCTCCTTTTCCTCCTCCTCCTCCTCCTCGTCCTCCTCCTCCTCCTCCCTGTGGGTCTCACCACCCCACAGAGAGTAAGCAGGTAGCATTTGTGGATGTTATAAAAAATCCTCCTCCTCCAATCCTTTTCCTTACAAGCAACTTCTCCCTGTCGCACCCCGAGGCCAGTTTTTAGGGCGGGTTTCGCCTGAGACTTCTCACCATTCATGACCCTGACGCTTAAACATTGACAACAGTTTTACAGATGGAGGGCGGGTCATTTTCAAAATGTGGCTCTCGCCTCAGCGCCGCGCACTTTCGTTTTAAACATGTGTACGAGTTTCACGGATTGAGGGCGGGTGGTTTTCAAAATGTGGTTCTCGCCTTATCGCCGCGCATTCATTTTATTCAAAAGAGTTTCGTGGATCGAGGGCCGGTGGTTTTCAAAATGTGGCTCTCGCTTCAGCGCCGCGCACATTCGTTCTACAAATTTGTACGAGTTTCACGGATTGAGGGCGGGTCGTTTTCAAAATGTGGCTCTCGCTCAAATTCGTATTTCGAATTTGCAAGAGTTTCACGGATTCCCATGATCAGCGTACATACCAGACGTGGTGTTTTGGAAGGATTCGGGATTATGAGGGTGCAACAGCTGCGTTAATTCGCGGTGTTGAAGTCCCAGTAATGGCGTTCTGGCATGGTTCAATATCGTCAAGACTCAAAAGTCTGGTTGATCCGTGGCGTTGGAATCCCCAGAACAAGTTTTTGGCATGCTTCAGGGTCCTCAAACGGTTGTTTTCCAACGAGGCAATTCCCTCAGTGGAAATCAACCGTTGCAGGGGTCTGTAAAGAGGGAGCTTGAAGGGAAGGTTCATTCCAACATCGTTGATGACTCTTGGGTTTCCACCGGTCCTCCTGCTGCTCCTGCTCCTCCTCCTCCTCTTTCTCTCCCCCTCCTTTCATGCCGCCTGGGACGCGCCCCCCCGCCGAGACGAGCGCCCCCGTCTGGGTGTTGGGAAGAATATACAAGCGCAATGTTTGGGTCCTAGGGCCCTAAAGGCACCCCCTGAAGTCCAGAAGAGACACGAAAGATCGCCGGTTCGAGGCTCGTTTCGGGTTCAAGGTTCGAGGCTTTGGACGTTTTCGTCGGTGCTCGGGATGCTCGCCTGCAGCTGCGCCTTGTCGAGTGCGTTCTGGAGGTGCCCGGATCGTCCCGAACGGCCGCAGGAGACCTGACTGAGTAATGACTCAAAAACCAAATTCGGCGGTGCGCCCCCCTCCAGGCCTAATTTCGATTCCTCTGGTTCGATTCGATTTGGCTTCGATAGCTTCCGATTCCGATCCGAGTCGGCTTCGGGCTCCGATCTGGATTCCGATTTCTGCACGGAGGCCTTACTGGCTTGCCGATCCCCGCCGATTCGGCTCCTCCCGACTCGGCTGCACATTTCCGCCGATCCGATTCGTTTCAATCGCCGAGCCGACTTCTCGATTCGATTCTGGGCTCGCCTGGGGCCCGAGAGGGGCGCTCAGGTATCGGGCGCACACAGTACCAGTGTGAATCGGGCGTAGAAGTTGCACGGTGGATTTTGTTGGAAAGTGTCCCCCAGGCATTCCGCGCCTTGTGCGCTGTTCCGCATGTCAGGGTGCTTGAACGCGACTAGACTCTCCATTTTTTCCCATGTGTGTGTGGACTTCGAAGCATGCTGAGAGCGTTGTTCCTATTGGAGTTGGGCGCTTGCGTTCTCTTC